AAAAAAAAAAGACACCAGCGAGTTAGATGATACATGGTAGGAAGAGACATGAGCAGCAAAACAAAGTCACTCAGCAAACAGACTCACCTCTGAGGAGCCGACTGGCCGTAGTTCCCAAGATCTGCTTTTGGGAGAGAAGCAAAAAGATGGCTTCAATTTTTTAAAAAATAAAAATCAATAAGAAAACCATATTGCACCAATTTTTAAACCAAGTTAGTGTCTCAGTTACATAGGGCATGGACAAAGTTACAGCGGGATCCTTCAATTTTTTAAGCAAGAGAAGACTTTGAATTGTTCAGGCAGAAATGGGTGGATACCTGCGTAAGAAAGGTTGTCAGGAGGTAGACTGGGATCTCTAATTTATTATGGGCATCAACGGCTAGGCCAGCATTTATTGCCCATTTCTCTTCACCCTCAGGAGTAATTCAGAGTCAACCTACCATGGGTTGACAGTCACACATAGGTCAGGCCAGGCCAGGCACATTCCTTCCACAAGGTACGTTAGATGGATTTCTCTTGACATTCAACAACCACTTCATGGACATCAGATTAATTCCAGATATTTAACCAAATTCAAAATCTACCATCTGCCGTGGTGGGATTCATACCCGGGTCCCCAAAACATTACCTGGGTCTCTGGGTTAATAATAATCACAAACGAAACCAAATAGCGGAGCAGGATCAAGGGGGTGAGTGTCCTAATCGTTCACTAGGTCCCACATCCAAACCGCAATTTGCGACAGTTCGCAACGGTTGGGGCAACAATCTTGAGATTACTTCCGCTGAGGTCCAGCCTGTAGGCTGTGTGTGACAACCGCCACAAATTCAAATCACCACTTCGTTGGTCAAGTTGACCAACATCAGTCAGGATGTGCAACCACCCCCGCCCCTTTAACTATCACGGCCTTCTGAACCACAGACATTGACAACTCACTTAGAACCTCCCCACCCTCCTCCACCTTCACTTCAAACACAGAGGCTCTCCCTGCTACAGCACTGAATACAGACCAACACCAACTGAAGACCGTTCTAGCCTTAATGAGGGCCAGCAGGGATGGAAACTAAGACAAAGTATGGGTGAGAAATTCTAAAAGCATCAAGAGCATCTGTTATTGAGGGCAACGGGTATAAGAAGATTTGCTCCAGATGTTCAGAGCATTGGTGAACAAAGAATACAAACACAGCCCATTCAGTCTCTCCGCATAACAGACTTTTCACATCCTGGTGAAACTCCTCCGCACCCTTTCCAGTGCAATCAACCATTCTCAAACTGCACACTATATCCCATCTATGGGCAACCAATGTTTTGGGAAGTCATAATAAGACTTCTTTGCTCCTACATTGTATGCTTTGGCGAATTAAGGCAAGCATCCCCTGTGCCTCGTTTAGCACCCTATCTACCTGTGCTGACACCTTCAACCAGAGCCAGACCACAGTTGGAAGACGAATCTTGGGGACTCATGGGCCTAAGGAAAGCTATACAGGTATTGTTGGCAATCCAGAGTAGATTCACTAAGCCAATCCCAAGTATGTCTCATTCATTTGTACTCGCATGGTGACATAGGACAACATGGAACATGAGTACAAGGGAATGTTAGTTGGTGAGGTTTCTAAAATTACACCTCCACCAAACCCCACGTGGGACTGCACCCATAAATAAAAGAACCCCAAATTCGGGACTAGTTACCATTGGTAGGATAGACTGAGCCAACAGCATAGCCTCAGAGGGGAGGAATTACTCTAGAACTGAGATGGGGAGGAATATCTTCAGCCAAAGGGTGGCGAATCTGTGGAACTCATTCCCACAGAAGGCTATGGAGGCCAAGTCATGGAGTGTCTCAGACAGGGACAGATAGGTTCATGATCAGTAAGGTGATCAAGGGTTGCAAGAAGAAAGATATACAAGGGAGACAGATCAGCCATTATCAAATGGCAAAATAGACTTGATGGGTTGAAGGGGCAGCACAATGGCTGGCACTGTTGCCTCAAAGCACCAGGAACCCAGGTTTGATTCCACCATTGGGTGTCTGCCTGGGTAAACTTCACACATTCTCCCCATGTGTTTCCACTGCATGCTCTGGTTTCCTCCCACAGGCCAGAGATGGAGGTTAGATGGATTGGACGTGCTAAATTGCCCAACGTGCCCTTGGGATGGGCATGCTAGATGCATTATAGCTGTGGGAAATGCAGGGTGACAGGGATTAGGCAGGACGGGGGAAGGGTGTGTAGGTGTGAAGTTCTTCAGAGGGTCAGCGTGAACTTGACGGGCGAAATGGCGTGCCCCCACGCTGTCAGGATTCTATGACTGGCCTCATCCTGGCCATATACCTCTCGTGGTTTCGCGTCAGACTGGCAGCGACCTTCTGAATCAGCACAGTGGGATGATTTGGGTGAGAGACGGAGGGGCTCGTAATGCCATTCATTTTGAGGCTTCCCAACCTGCCACTGGGGGCTGCCTATCAATATGAAGGATGGACACTTTGGGGCTAGAGGCGGCACGGTGAAATCCCAAACCCGTTCCTCAGGGTCTTCCCGGTCGGAGGCATCGGCTTTGAGGGCGCTGGGTGGGTAGGACGTGGAAGAGGGGTACCCAAGGGGAACAGGAGGACTTGGGTGTTGGACACTAAGCCCCGCCCCTTCACCCCCTCCCCACACAAGGCGGCGGCGCGATGACGTCAACACGCCAGCGAGGGAAGGGAAAGTGGCAAGGATGGGGGAAGGGAAGACCCCGGATGTAGCCTCCATAGCCGAGGCGCTTAACACAACGGAAGAGGAAGGGGCACCCACAATCCAGCGCCATCCTGCCTAGGGGAGCCTCAACCGAAGGGATAGCCGGCGCCTTGGCCGCCGGGAGAGCGCGGGGGAGGCATCCGCGGCGTCGGATGATGGAGCCGACGGTGCGGGGGTGGTGGAAAGATACAAGGGACGGATTAGCGGGCGCCGTTGGCGAAAAGGTGGCGGCGCCAAACACCCTTTCTTCTCATACCGGTCCCGCCTATTTCTGCACAGCACACCCGAAGGGGAAAAAGGGAGGCGGCATCCTCCCGCCGAAACGCCGCTGGATGGCGAACAATAAGACACAGAGACGCCTAGGCAACAAAATGGCGGCGGGCTTCCCTCTCATTAAAATAAAAACGTTGCGCACTTTCTTCATCCGTAGCCCCCCCCCCCCCAAATAAAACTAAAACCATTCCCCTCCTCCAACATTTAGAACGCGAACGGGAATGTTTTAATATTCCCAGACCTTGCTATTTACCCCAACCCCCGGGAACGACTTATTTGTTATTTCTGATTTTTTTTCAAATAAAAAACGAACAGAAAATGGCGCCCGGCGAGGAAAAGGGGGAGGGGGCAAACAAAATGGCGGCCGACTTAAAACAATAAACGGA